AGACTTTTGAGTCCACAAAAGTACGTACGTCAGCCATCAGTGAATGAAGTATGCTGACATAACACCCCCTAGGGGTAATTTATTATTAACATAATATACATTTACAGCCCGTTGTGAAGTGGATGATACAGCTTCTCAAGACCTCGTCTGCAGGGGTGGCTGTGTGGACGATGAGCTGTCTTATCAGCTAAGTACTCCCTACATTTAATCTAACCTTAGCTGGTAAACCATTTCTCAACAACATCACAGTCACCAGTGAAATGGTTGTGAGACAAATAGACCATCTGAAACAAAATAAATCGCCGGGTCCTAATGAGCTTTTTTCAAGGGTTCTTAAGGAATGCAAAATGGAACTTTGTGAACTGTTAACTAATATTTTTAATTTATCTTTTCAAACAGGTGTAGTGTCTGATATGTGGAAGATGACTAATGTAATTCCTATTTTTAAAGCAGGGGACAAGTCGTTACCTTCAAATTACCGCCCAATAAGCCTAATCTCAATTGTAGGCAAATTACTAGTCAATTATAGCTGAGATTATGAGAAGCCATCTGGATAAGCATAATCTGATTAATGATACTCAGCATGGATTCACGAGAGGCCGTTCTTGTCTAACTAATTCACTAACTTTCTTCAGTAAAGCTTTTGAGGCTGTTGATCAAGACAAAGAATCTGATATTGTTTATTTAGATTTTAGTAAGGCTTTTGAAAGAGTACCACACCAAAGACTGTTAAAGAAAGTGGCAGCTTATGGCATTGGGGGAAAAGTGCTGTCATGGATAGAGTCATGGCTCACAGACAGGAAGCAGTGTCTCTATAAATGGGGTTAAATCCGAGTGGGGATCCGTAACAAGTGGCGTTCCACAGGGATCAGTCTTAGGCCCGTTGTTGTTTATAATATATATCAATGATCTTGACGAGGGTATTACTAGTGTAATGAGCAAATTCGCCGATGACACAAAGATAGGTAGGATAAATGATTCAAACGTAGATGTCAGGGAACTTCAGGAGGATTTAGACAAACTCAATAACTGGTCAGAAAAGTGGCAGATGCAGTTCAATGTAGATAAATGCAAGGTTCTGAAGCTCGGGAGTGTCCACAGCCCCTAGCACTTATAAGTTAAATAATGTAGAACTTAGCCATACAGATTGCAAAAAGGACTTGGGGTTATGATAAGCAGCAACCTTAAACCAAGACAGCAGTGCCTAAGCGTATGTAATAAGGCAAACAGATTACTGGGATTTATATCAAGAAGTGTAAGCAACAGAAGTTCAGCAGTTATATTACAGCTTTATACATCATTAGTAAGGCCTCTCCTAGATTATGCAGGTCAGTTCTGGTCTCCATGTTACAGAATGGACATAAATTCGTTAGAAAACATTCAGCGTAGAATGACTAAATTAATACATAGCATTAGAAATCTTCCTTATGAAGAAAGATTGAAGACCCTTAAATTACATTCACTTGTTAGACGAAGAATGAGGGGAGACATGATCGAAGTGTATAAGTGGAAGATGGGTATTAATAAAGGGGATATAAATAAGGTCTTGAGGATATCTCTCCAAAAGAGAACCTGCAGTAATGGATTCAAATTAGACAAGTTTTGATTTAGAAAGGATATAGGAAAGTATTGGTTTGGAAATAGGATAGTTGATGAGTGGAACAGTCTACCTAGCTGGGTTATTTCAAATTTAGGTTGGATAAATACATGAGTGAGAGGGGTTGGATTTGAATGAGGCTTGCATATGAGAGTGGATAGAGTTATCAGAGGTTATTTCTTGGGAGGCATTGAAAATTGGGTTGGGCAAATGTTTTGTTAGTGGGATGGATTGTAAAGGACCTGCCTAGTATGGGCCAACAGGCCTGCTGCAGTGTTCCTTCTTTCTTATGTTCATTTCTACGGTGTTCCTCACTTTCTTTACCACTTTGGCACTAGGAGCTTCCTTTGTGGCCACGGTGGCCACAAAATAAACAAGTGGCAAAAACAATGGATTACAGTGGACCCCCGGTTAATGAACTTTTTTCATTCCAGTAGTATGTTCAGGTGCCAGTACTGACCGAATTTTTCCCATAAGGAATATTGTGAAGTAGATTAGTCCATTTCAGACCCCCAAACATACACGTACAAACGCACTTACATAAATACACTTACATAATTGGTCGCATTTGGAGGTGATCGTTAAGCGGGGGTCCACTGTATTACGAAATGTTTCACATGACCAGGGAGGATATGTTCACTCACAGAGAAACAACGCTACACTGGCTGAGAATGGTATGGGAGGCGACTTTGTCTGCGTGCTAAGCACTGGACAGATTCTGTATGATCGACAAAAACAGAGGTAATCGACAAAAACGGTGCAAAAAAAATCAGCAAAAACAAGTCGGCCAAAACCGAAATTGGCAATAACAGAGATCGACAAAAACGGAGGGTCCACTGTACCCAGATGTTGCACATGTTTCTAAGTCATCATCTTGTCAGTACTGTATACCATTGATATACAGGCTTATCTATGTTGTAGAAGCTGTTATTCTGTTTGATATTACTGGATGTACTGATAAATGTTGATTCTAGTATCCTGCATCTCTGTGTGTCTTCTTTCTTCCTTGGCAGCAAACAGTGCACCCTAACAACCTAGAATTGTTAAACAACTCTAAAAAAATTGTCTCGACACTAAATTCCTAATATGTAGTTATAATTACCTCCATTATGCTCAAGGAAATTGCCCTTAAGGGACAGTTTCAACAAGTCCAAACTACTGCAGGGGTTTACACATCTGTTACAACAACTGTGACAAAATATACATATGTGAAAGAAACATCGAGAGACCACCACATACACATATCCAAACATCAACATGCCAGCAAAATAGAACTTACATAATGCCTGTATTTCACACCAGACTTGATTAATTACAAGGGTGCACAACTCATTGCCAAGGAAAACACCAAAAAATGCAGGATACTAGAATCCTCACTTATCAGCACACTCAATAATATTAACCAGAACAACAACTTCTGTAACAGCTGAGCCTCTTGTCAGAAAGCTTCTATATTGATTTCTCACATAGCTGTGGATAAATTTTCTCCAGGAGGGGGGTATCAGCCCCCTTCAGCCCTGAGGGGCCCAGCCCTCTCAGAAGGGGCAAGCGTCTTGTTTACTGCTACAGTGAGTAATTGATCACAGATGCCGTACGAGTATGCGACGTGGTCAAGTGACCGCTGCTCCTTGCAGAGTGTTGCAGAGTGTATTTTAATAAGAGACAGTACATCTCTTACTTTAGTAGGACAATTAAGGAAAATCCTGCTCCCACTTTATTACCATAGTAAAGATAGTGGACATTGTTGTCTATGCTTAAGACAGCAAGAATCAAACATTCTGCTTTGCTTCATCGAGGAAGTGGCAAGGAAGCAGAAGTACTAGGTCAGCTTTTTCTTTGTGCTAGGGGAGTGACGGCATGGGGCGCTGTGGCGTCTTCAGATTACTTTTGACTCTGCTGAGAGTGACACTGACGCCAGGATAACCAACAAAGAACAACGATCTGTGCGTTAGTGTGAACAAAGTGTCTCACAAAACACAATAAACACTTGAGAGAAGTGTGATCAGCTTCTCTTGTGATAAGATTGTGAACAATAAAGACAAATCTTGTGGAACATAGTGTACCAGTGTGCGTTTCCTAGACAATGGAAGACGTGGACATCCAAGGACACTTCAGCTTCTATCAAGTCACCGATACCTGTCGAAGGTGTGAAGAACACCATAGCTCACGTTACAAGAGCAAGGTATGTCACGAATTTCTTGTGGTACGGGGACTGTGCAGTTCTTGAGTCGCAAGGAGTTTGTAATCAGCCTATAGTCGGCAGTAAGGTGTGGACTTTTGAGTCCAAACAAGTATGTATTTTGTCAGCCATCAGTGAATGAAATATGCTGACATAACACCCCCTAGGGGTAATTTATAATCTTACAAATTATAAATCTTTACAGCCCGTTGAAAGATGGTTTCGACAGCTTCTAGACCTCGTCTGCAGGGGCGGCTGTGTAGACGATTTGCTGTCTTTTATCAGCTAAGTGTTCACTATATTTATATTTATAAATTAAACTTAAACTGGTAAAGCCATTCCTCAACAATAGCAATAGCCCATAAGTACTGTACACAGGTATGAAACAGCACTGCAGTAGACCTACTTGCCCACATCTCTCTCAAATACTTGTCCAACCTATATTTAAAGCTACCCATGGATTTAGCTTCAACACACTTAACCTGACTTCACCTCACTACACTCCCTATATACAGGCTCATCTATCCTCTCCCAAGTTTAAGTTTGCAACTTGATGAAACCCACTGATTAGATGAAACATCCTTAATAAAGGATTGCATTATATTGCATTTGTCACTTTTTTCATTGTATCAGTATTTTATGCAATTTCTCTCCATAAAGTTATTTCTTGGGTAAATAATTATTTAGGGAGATATTAGTGAAAACCATACTTTTTTTGGCATGATAGCATGAACACAAATAAAGATGCAGAAACGTAAACAAAGATGCAGTGGACGTAAACAAAGACTGATGACGGAGTAAGGTTAAGTTATGTTAGGTTATTTTAGACTGGGTTAGACGGGTTTTGTTAGGTTATATTCCTTACTATTTGCATAACAAAATACGTATCTCAAATGTAAAAAACCAACAAAATATTGTACAATTCAAGCTATACTTACTGAAGTCAGCCAAGGAACAGTCTTCAATTATTACATTGATTTCTTTTGCTCTTGCTGAGATTTTAGATAGACAGTTACGTATATTTTTCATGTTTACACATTGCCCAGCTCTTCTAGGAACTGGGTTAATGCCTTCACGATTTTCTGCTTTAAATGCAGGGGTTAGGGCCCACCCAAATACAGTGGACCCCCGCCTTATGAACGCATCGCGTTACGTTAAATCCACCATACGAAGCATTTGAAAGCAAAAATTTGCCTCACCTCACAATAAAAAAACTTGGCTTACGTGATTCGTCCGGGACGCGTCCCACGTAAGGCCTCAGCGCCAGTGTTTACAAGCCAGCCAGTGAGGTCGCATCTACACATACATTTGGTACATTTCACATTATCCCAGTGTTTTTAGTGCTTGTAACTGCAAAATAAGTCATCATGGACCCAAGAAAGCTTCTAGTGCCATCCCTGTGGTAAAAAGGGCGAGAATTAGTATGGAATTGAAAAAAGAGATTAAGGAAATGTGTGCAAAGTGGGTTGAACTGCAAACCTTTACGGATGAAAGTCACCCTGACACAGCTACTGCAACCCGTGTTGGCAACCTGTACAATGACAATGTTATGGCCCATTTTAGGAAAGTCTTAAAGGAATGGGAGGTACAGAGCTCTATGGACAGATTTGTTGTGCGGCAAAGGTCCAGTGACTCTCAAGCTGGTCCTAGTGGCATTAAAAGAAGAAGGGAAGTAACCCCAGAAAAGGACTTGCTACCTCAAATCCTAATGGAAGGGGATTCCCCTTCTAAACAATAACTTCCACACACTCCCATCCCATCAATCATCACCAGATCTTCAATAAAGGTAAGTATCATGTATTCTATTCTAAGTATAGTAGTAACTGTGCATGTCTTCTTCAGTTTGTGTGTATTAAAATTAATATTTCATGTGGTAAAATAACTTTTTTTTCATACTTTGGGGGTGTCAGGAACGGATAAATTTGATTTCTATTATTTCTTATGGGGAAAATTAATTCAGCTAATGATAATTTCGGCTTACAACGAGCTCTCAGGAATGGATTAATATCGTAAGGCGGGGGCCCACTGTATTTCAGTGTTGTAGGAAGTTTTAAGGCTAGAATGTTTGTTTGAAGATTTTTTTTTGTTTTGGAGAGCGGGGGGGGAGGGGGGGCACTGTGATGTCCATAACAGTGAGATAGAAATCAAGTCAGTTTGTCATCCAGGAATGTCTCTTATTTGCAGTGGGATCCTTTAATCCTCTCCCCTGGGATGCAACTTGCACCAGTAGCCTAATAACTAGGTACCTACCTATTGTTAGGTGAACAGGGAGAGCAGAGGTAACAAAAAATGCCCATTTCCATTTGTGCCAGGCTTCAAACCCAGGAATCTCAGTGGGCAAGCTGAGTTTCTGGAACACTGAAATTAATGCAGTTTTCACAGACCTCTATTTTGTAACTGTACCTGTGAGCTACTAGTTTTGTGTCATAGGAATGTCCTATGTGTGAGACTCAGGAGTAATGATGATGTCAAAAGATCTCACATTCAAGGATCACACCAGTGTTGTCATTGCTTTCACAAGGAAAATGATAGGCTGGATAACTCAAACTTTCAAAACTTGAGTTGCTGAGTTAACCCCTAAATGGTCCAAACGTATACATATGTTCTTACCGCTAGCACCCCAAATGTATACATATACAGTGGACCCCCGGTTTACGATATTTCATTCCAGAAGTATGTTCAGGTGCCAGTACTGAACGAATTTGTTCCCATAAGGAATATTGTGAATTAGATTAGTCCATTTCAGACCCCCAAACATACACGTACAAACGCACCTACATAAATACACTTACATAATTGGTCGCATTGGGAGGCGATCGTAAACCGGGGGCCCACTGTATACATTTTATTTTTCCTGCCTCCAAATTTGGCATGCCTGGTCAGCATAAAATGAGTCTTAACACTTGGTGTACCACTCAGTACCTTGTGGGAGCGCCAGTTAAATTGAGTGCCAGCTTGAGCAAACACCAAGGATTCACTAATGTAATGTCATATTAACACTCCCCTTTTAAGAGGAAAGTGATGTTAACCCCAAGTTTAGGGTCTGTCTATCTGTTTCTGTCTACCTGTGTCTGTCTCTCTGTCTGTATCTATGTCTGTCTATGTCTGTCTCTGTCTATGTCTGTCTCTGTCTATGTCTGTCTCTGTCTATGTCTGTCTCTGTCTATGTCTGTCTCTGTCTATGTCTGTCTCTGTCTATGTCTGTCTCTGTCTATGTCTGTCTCTGTCTATGTCTGTCTCTATGTCTGTCTCTATGTCTGTCTCTATGTCTGTCTCTGTCTATGTCTCTGTCTATGTCTGTCTCTGTCTATGTCTGTCTCTGTCTATGTCTGTCTCTGTCTATCTGTCTCTGTCTATCTGTCTCTGTCTATCTGTCTCTGTCTATCTGTCTCTGTCTATCTGTCTCTGTCTATCTGTCTCTGTCTGTCTGTCTCTGTCTGTCTCTGTCTATCTGTCTCTATCTGTCTCTGTCTGTCTCTGTCTATCTGTCTCTGTCTATCTGTCTCTGTCTATCTGTCTCTGTCTATCTGTCTCTGTCTATCTGTCTCTGTCTATCTGTCTCTGTCTATCTGTCTCTGTCTATCTGTCTCTGTCTATCTGTCTCACAGGTACACACAAATACAATTATACATAGTGTAAATTACCTAGGATAACCTAAAAAATCTGAAGTGCTATACTGTGCTTATAGATATAATGCATAAGAATACCTGTTGGTTCACAGTGGCTCTCTCTGAGACAGAGAGAGACACAAGCAGAGATGGAAAGAGACAAGAGAGAGAGAGACAGATAATCAGAGACAGTGATACCAGCTCACCAAATGTCACCCCTTATCTCTGCACCCTCGTTGGTGCCCATCAAACGTCATCGCTTATCTTATCACTGCTCTCCCGGATACTTGTCTTATGCATTGCTTCAAGGGAACTTCTTTCTTCCTCCTTCCTTCTTCCTCTATACTCTCGTGTATCCAAAACATTGCTAGGACTTATAAATACTTTGTATATATTCCTAGACAATAGTAAATGACCAAGGCAGGTGTAAATGTCCACCTGTCAATGTGTTTGTGACAATCCGAGTACAATTTCAGTACCTAATATTAGTGTCAGAACAAAGATTGGTTATGAAATGACAAGAACTACAATAAACTGTAATTATCAGAACATAAAAATTATATAAAATAATATTAAAATGAGAAAAAATGGAATATCGGCAACACTTCTGCAAGCGGCAGGACTTGATGTTGCCATCAGGTGAGCATTAAGTGCCAACTTTGCAGCCTCATATCTCAGTAAGTACTGACCTCATTTTTTTTTTATTTTAATGCTATAACACTTAGAAAAAATTTCTCTTTATTTCAATGAAAAAAAAAAAAGATTTATTTTTCAAAATATTCAGGGCACTGGGGGGAGAGAACATATGTATACGTTTGGACCGTTTAGGGGTTAATGATAATATTCTAAGTCACTTGTTCTTTCTAGGCTGGAATACTGCTGTATACTGATGGTATACTTCAAGGCTGGCAAGATTAATGAGCTGGAAAATGTAGAGAGAACTTTCATTGGTCATATACACTCAACCAGGCATCTTAACCACTGGGAATACTTGAAGTTTTGTTAACTGTATTCCTTGGAAAGTAGAGAGAAAAGTACATAACAGTTTTACAACTGGAAAATCCTGGAGGGAGTGATCCCAAGGAAGGACTTGACGAGTGCCAGAGGTCCCTAATTCTTCAATCCCCTCCTTCCATGCACAGGAAGTACCAACAAACCTCTGGTGGTCTTCAAGAGAGAATATAAAAAGTTCCTCAAATCAGTTTCTGACCAGCCAGGCTGTAGTTCATACGGTATATTGCAAGCAGCCAGCAGTAACAACCTTGATGATTAGATGTTAATCCTCTAGGAGGCCTAGTCTGGGACCAGGCCATGGGGGGGTGTTAACCCCCAGAAACATCCTTCAGGTAGTCCTAAGCTAGCCACTGCTGCTGCCTAGTTAATTATTATATTCATATTGAAGCTAATGTATAAATAATTTAAGATCTTTATTACGAGCCTGATACCCAGTGTTGACGGAAGTTAAAAAGGTGACAGGAACACTGCAGCTCTGGGACTGAATCAACTTATTATAAAATGTCACTTGTATATGTATCATTAATATATACATTTTTAACTACTGACGTTGCAGTACAAATTAATTATATGTTGCAAGCACCTCTGTATAATGCAAAACTTTCGTAAATAGATTGCATATTATCTCTTACAAGTTTATAATATCATTTACGCCCCCAGTCAAGGGGAGCCGCCGGCCCCTCCTCCATGATAACTCTGCTCTCCTCCTTCCCCCAGATATTACCTTGTGCTAGTGTCCCTCTTGCTAGACATGAAGGTGAAGCTCTGCAGGCTGCCTACACCATACAATAGGTGAGAGAGCAGTCATTACAGGTGCTAGTGTTCAGACGTCTCTATCAGTTTGTTGTTGTTCTCTCATCTGATCGTCTGACGTCACGATTCTTGCCTATTTTTATTCTGCTACATTGAAGTTAAATTCATAAATGTTCTGTTTAACATATTAAATTAATATTTAAAAATTACACAAACACTGCAGAAAGCGCAATGTTACATAAGCACACTGTAAAATGTAATTTAGAGTTAAACAGTACTTCACTATCCATAATTCTTCATTCTATACTTACAAATTGACATTTGGCACTTATCAAATTATTATTTGACAGGATATTCAAAAATAAAAGTACTTTTATCTTGAATATCTCACAAGAAGTATATTTACTTTAGTAGTGTACTCGTTCGGGAACAAAAATAATATTATACTTATGACAAAAATTAAAAATAAATAAAACTTGTCCCGGGAAACTTCTCGTATCCATAACACAACCAAGAAACAGATTTACTGTATAAGAACATAAGAACGAAGGAACACTGCAGCAGACCTACTGGCCCATGCGAGGCAGGTCCAAGTCTCCTACCGGCTTAAGCCAATGCACCCAACCTAGTCAGGTCAGGTCACATTGACTTAAGGAACACGGCAACCGACCTGGTAGCACAAGCTATCAGGTCCAACTCACACCCACCCACATCCACTCATGTATTTATCCAACCTATTTTTAAAGCTACACAACGTTCTGGCCTCTATGACTGTACTTGGGAGTTTGTTCCACTCATCCACAACTCTATTACCAAACCAGTACTTTCCTATATCCTTCCTGAATCTGAATTTTTCCAACTTAAAACCATTGCTGCGAGTCCTGTCTAGGCTAGATATTTTCAGCACACTATTTACATCCCCTTTATTTATTCCTGTCTTCCATTTATACACCTCAATCATATCCCCCCTAATTCTACGTCTTTCTAGAGAATGCAGATTCAGGGCCCTTAGTCTATCCTCATAGGGAAGGTTTCTGATGGTATAAACCTTGGTAATAAATACCGACAAGTTGGTTTAGAAAGACACGTAAGCAAACACTATAACATATTTATTAGAAAACGTTTCGGTCCTGGGACCTTGATCACTTCTCAAGGTGATCAAGGTCCAAGGACCGAAACGTTTTCTATAAATGTTATAGTGTTTGCTTACGTGTCTTTCTAAACCAAGGTTTCTGATACATGGGATCAACTTTGTCATCCTCCTTTGTACATTTTCCAGAGCATTTATATCCATTCTGTAATACGGTGACCAAAACTGTGCAGCATAATCTAAATGAGGCCTAACCAAGGATATATAGAGTTGAAGAACAACCTGAGGACTCCTATTATTTATGCTTCTTGATATGAAGCCAGGGATTATATTAGCTTTATTGCGAACACTTATGCACTGTTGTCTTGGTTTCAGATTACTGCTAACCAGAACTCCTAAATTTTTTCGCAATCCGTAATGTGGAAAATTACATTTACTTGGATGTATTATTATATACATAACAGTAAATGAACATTGACAATTATTATTTATCAATGTTACATAGACAAGTAAGAATTTGGGACACCTAGGTCGCAAAAATGTTCCCTTTCGATACCTACCACTGTCATAACCACAAGTTGCTCTGGAGGCCAAGCCCATGATGACACTCTTCAGGTCACTTGTTCTATCTAGGCTGGAATATTGCTGCACACTAACAGCACCTTTCAAGGCAGGTGAAATTGCCGACCTAGAAAATGTACAGAGAACTTTCACGGCACGCATAACGGAGATAAAACACCTCAATTATTGGGAGCGCTTGAGGTTCCTAAACCTGTATTCCCTGGAACGCAGGAGGGAGAGATACATGATTATATACACCTGGAAAATCCTAGAGGGACTAGTACCGAACTTGCACACGAAAATCACCCACTACGAAAGCAAAAGACTTGGCAGACGATGCACCATCCCCCCAATGAAAAGCAGGGGTGTCACTAGCACGTTAAGAGACCATACAGTAAGTGTCAGGGGCCCGAGACTGTTCAACTGCCTCCCAGCACACATAAGGGGGATTACCAACAGACCCCTGGCAGTCTTCAAGCTGGCACTGGACAAGCACCTAAAGTCAGTTCCGGATCAGCCGGGCTGTGGCTCGTATGTTGGTTTGCGTGCAGCCAGCAGCAACAGCCTGGTTGATCAGGCTCTGATCCACCAGGAGGCCTGGTCTCAGACCGGGCCGCGGGGGCGTTGACCCCCGGAACTCTCTCCAGGTAAACTCCAGGTAAACACCAGGAATACTGGTAAATATATAAATTTGTGGACTGTATATTAAAAATAATAAATGGTTATATATGTACACAGTTACATAACAGAAGGAAAATATATCTTAACATCACTCACCAATTTGACTGGAGATTAATGTGTATCATACTCAGAAAATCTCACTCTAACTAAATCTATGAAAATAATGCTGGCCAGAATTACACACAAACCTAGAGAGCTTATCTGAGGTTCCTGGAGCTGTCTTGTCCAGTCGTCTGATATCTCAAGTTATGCAGGAATGCACATCCACCAATTTCGCCTCCTATTTGAGAGGTGTCAACACAATTTTAACCTCTAGAACACGAAAAATTCTTCCCATTACACCAACGTTTGTACAAAATTCACAACCAAGATGGCGAGTCTCGTCTGCGCAGACGCAGGCTTTCCGTTTTCTATGACAAATATTATTAAATACAGTATGGCCATCTATTTACATATAAATACTGAATTTCTGGAAAATATATACAGTATTTTCCACACGTAATATTAAGATCTACATTATTTAGTTTATATGTGGCATGGTTATTGTCCTGTCCAACATTTAGAGCTTTGCATTTGTCTATATTAAACTACATCTGCCAAGTTGATGAATAACATATATTATGCAACACTTGGGTATTTTTATTGCCTAAACGTTTCGCCTACACAGAAGGCTTCATCAGTCGAGTACAGGAAGCAAGAGGATTATGGAGGCGAAGTTATTATCTCTTTTACTACTGCTTCCTCTGTTCACCAGAAGAAGCCTGTTGTGCAGGCGAAACGTTTCGGCAATAAAGATTCCCAAGTGTTACATAATACCTATCTACCTATTCACCTGTGTTATAAGAATTAATAATTATAACTGGGAAGGTCATGCTAACAAGTTCTGCATCACGACACATATACCACTCAGGACATTTCTTAAGGAAACGTTTCGCTATGAGTGGCAAAACGTTTCCTGGAATAAATGTTTAGATAAGATTTCATTCGGATTTTTAACCCCGACTGGTTAGCCATCCAGGATAACCCAAGAAAGTCAGTGTGTCATCGCGGGATTTCGTCTTATTTCCACTGGGATCCTCAATCTTGTCCCCCAGGATGCAACCCACACCAGTAGACTAACGCCAAGGTACCTACTTGCTTGCTAGGTGAACGGGACAACATGTGTAAGGAAACACGCCGAGGATCGAACCACGGACACTGTATGTAAATAATAAATAATATAATATCTTTATTTACTACAAGTACATGTACAAGGTATACAGTCCTAGCTGACATTAATGACATACTACTATATAGAAAGCTGCTTGTTATGCAGAGCATTTCGGGCAAATTAAGTCAGCTTTGTCCCAGGATGCGACCCACACCAGTCGACTAACTCCCAGGTACCCATTTTACTGATGGGTAAACATAGACAACCGGTGTCAAGAAACATGCCCAATGTTTCTACCCTCGTTGGGACTCGAACCCAGACACTCGCCGTGTGAAGCGAGAGCTTTAGCTACCAGGCCACGGGGCACCGTACGCAAGAGGGTTGCCTACCAGGCCCCAGTTATGAAGTGTAACTAAGAAGCAAGATAGTCAACCACTTAGATACCCATCAGTTACACAACCCAGGACAACACGGATTTAGAGCAGGTCGCTCCTACCTGTCCCAGCTATTGGACCACTATGACAAGGTCCTGGATACTGTAGAGGATAAACAAAATACAGATGTAGTATACACAGACTTTGCAAAAGCTTTCGACAAGTGTGACCATGGTATAATAGAACACAAAATGCGGGATAAAGAAATAACGGGAAAAGTTGGTAGATGGATCTACAACTTCCTGACAAATAGAACACAAAGAGTAATAGCAAACAGAGTAAAGTCCCAGGCAGCCATGGTAAAAAGCTCTGTTCCACAAGGCACAATACTCGCTCCCATTCTATTCATCATCCTCATTTATGACGTAGACAGAGATGTAAGCCATAACTCCATGTCTTCCTTTGCGGATGACACCCGGATCACCATGGCAGTGACCTCCATCGAAGACACTGAGAGACTTCAAGCAGACATCAACCAAATCTTCGAATGGGACACTCAAAACAATATGAAGTTCAACGAGAAGAAATTTCAACTACTCAGATAGGAAAACTTGAAGAAATTAAAAATGTGTCAGGGTTTACCACAAATTCTTACCATACAATAGAGCGGAAAAGTAATGTGAAGGACCTGGGAGTGATAATGTCAGAGGATCTAGCTTTCAAATTTATGTTAACGTCCAGGGTTTATTACCTGGACCTCAGCAATGAGAGTCGCTCCTCTCACCGATGGGCAACAGCGACCAGTACTCTAGCTTTCAAAGACCACAAGAATGTATCTACCTCATCCGCTAGGAAAATGATAGGATGGATAATGAGAACCTTCAAAACCAGGGACGCCAAGTCTATGATGATTCTCTTCAAATCGCTTGTGCTCTCTAGGCTGGAATATTGCTGTACACTAACGGCCTCCTTCAAGGCTGGCGACACGGCAGACCTGGAGAGTGTACAAAGAAATTTCACAGTACACATGAGTGCGATAAGGCACTTAAACTACTGGGAACGGTTGAAGGTCCTTGATGTGTATTCCCTCGAATGCAGGCGAGAGAGATATATGATAATATACACTTTGAAGGTCCTGGAGGGATTGGTACCAAACCTGCACACGAAAATCACTCCATATGAAAGCAAAAGACTCGGCAAGAGATGCAACATTCCCCCGATGAAAAGCAGGGGCGCCACGACTACACTAAGAGACAACACAGTAAATGTCCGGGGCCCAAGATTGTCCAATTGCCTCCCAGCATACTTAAGGGGAATTACCAATAGACCCCTGACTGTCTTCAAGAAGGCATTGGACAGGCACCTAAAGTCAGTACCTGATCAACCGGGCTGTGGTTCGTACGTCAGCTTGCGTTTGGCCAGCAGTAACAGCCTGGTTGATCAGGCCTTGATCCACCATGAGGCCTGGTCTCAGACCGGGCCGCGGGTGCGTTGACCCCCGAAACCCTCTCCAGGTAAACCAGGTAGCTATCAAAACTTTTGGGCCCAGTTCCTGGACCTGCTATGTGCCTAAGTAATCTTTTGACTACCACCCAAAGGATGGTTATGGGGTGCATAATAAACATATTAAACTAACTTTACTTATTCCCGTTTTTCCATTTGTAAAAGCACAATATATACTATACAGAAAATAAACGGCTCTCTGATCCAAGCACTTATAAACACTTAACTCTTCCTGTGAAACACTCTTCATCATTGTTTCATTAAAATATTACGT